ATACAGTTTCTCTGTGAATTTGTTTCTATCGTTGTTAAACGATTCTAATATCTTATTAAGATCACAATGAAAAAATTTTAATAATGATTCTAATGTGTTTGCACGCCTCTCTAAAATCCAATCGTGTATATTCCTATCAGTTCCCACTGCCTACAAAATAATTGACGATCATATATATGTACATACCAAATATTAATTCATGCTATGAATGATGCATTCAATTATAAAATAATATTCTTCTACATTAATTCGGAGTTAACTAATAATTGTAATATTTATAGCAGGTAACAGCAACTATAAAGTCATAGCATGCGTCTTTTTGTACAATACATTTTTTCATTGTTCCTAGTGCTATTGAAGAAAAATTGAAATATAATAATAATACACTCACAAGAATGTACTGTCCAAACTTTTTCAGTACAAATTTTCCACCCTGTAACGTGATTGATTTTGGAGCAGAAAATGAAATTGTTAGAAACTGATTAACAGCCATTAATTGACCTGCTAAAGCTAGCCTTTGGGTAAGAGACACCCATGCTGGATGGAAATACATAACTGCCTCTGCAGGATCATCATCTTCTTTACAACACCTAGCAGTGTCATAAACGAATACTATCATCATCTCTCTAAAAAGAAAAACAAAATATTATGATCATTTATAATTTTAATTTTTCTTTAATTAATCATTATAGTTTCTCTATTATTAAAAAAAATAAGATGGCAATAACTAAATGAAACTACTCTGCAAGCTACGTCATCGTAACTTTAAAAATAGAATAAACGATACATGTTTTTACAAATGAAATAGCTTACCCTGAAGTAATAGATAAAAAATTCCTATGCACAATTGTAAAACTATATCAACATTCATTTTTACAAAATCACGTACATAATACTGATATCTGTTACAATTGTTCTGATTCAGATATATGAATAAGTCTATGTAGTAAACATTTCAAACTAAAGAAGTAGCAGCAGACTAGTGATTAGCACCAGTAACCGATAACAAAATAAATAAGATAAGATTAGAGCTCAAAATACGTCATTCGAA